TCTGCTTACCAAGTCCTCCAGAGAAGGTTTACATCCCCAGAGAGAGCTCATGTGCCTCAGAGACAGCCTCAGTTTTTATATTGTAGCCTAAATACTCTTGTCCTGGATTGCCCTGCTGCTTTCCCACATGTTCTCCCACTGAATCCAAACAATCTGCAATAAGTGTCCTGCTTAGCCGAGATAAGTGTTTTGTCCAGGTGCTGTGCAGTGACACGTCCACTGTGAGATGCCTCAGTGACTGCACAGGAGCTGTGGGTCATGCCTGTGTTATGTCTGATAGTCACCAAAGGCTGGATCCTGTGAGCACTGAAGCAAAGGTAAAGCTACCTCTGACTTTATGGCACAGGGCATGATCCCTGAAAGAATCCATGCTAAGATACTGGTAAGTACGTAGCACATCTCTGCAAACTCACAGCCTAAACCTTGTCCTGATGCTGAAACCTTCTCCTCCTAACCTTTCCTCTTCTTTTTAAGCAAGCAGGTTGGGTCACCTCTCAGCTGTGTAAATGCATCAGTGTGCGGGAGCCCTGCCTGGAGGCGCTGCTAAGAATAGTGTCTAAGAGCAAGGGGAAGAGAGGAGTGAGCCTGATTTAGCCACTGCCATCGTCAGTTAGACTCCACCTCATTTCCTACAAGCCATAGAGGCTACACAATGAACATAGTTGCAGATGGTGCTCTTACTTGACCGTCTTCCGATCCTCTGAATACCAAAGTCAATGGCACAGCTTCAAAAAACTCAATGCTGTTGCCCTGCTATGGCTATAAGATCCCGTTACTATATCCCTTACCTCTCTAGCTAAAGCTGCTGTGAGTACAGGGGTCTCACCTGTCTGTCTGACTGAGCTGCAGGCTCCTGAAACAAAGTGCAAATGAATCCCCTAGAAGCAGCCGTGTTTCAGCAAAATGCCATAGAAACCACAGCTGAGTTATGGAGGGCCTTTCCCCTGGCATTATGCAATAGGTAATTATGTAAGTTGTTGTTATATAATATTCCTAGTTTTTTTGGAGTGCCAGCCTCCCTCTGACCACAGCAGTGTGTACTACTTACGTCACAACTCAGGATCACAGCAGAGCTGGGGCTGCTGTCACTGGTTCTCCCAGCCACGGGACTCTCAGGGCTTTTAAAAAATTGTACTGTGGGGGAAAAAGTTCATTGAAAAGAAAAAAGTATTTGATGAAAATATATGTTTGTTCCTCTGAGACGTTTTGCTGTGTAAGCACACAAGATGGCTTGGCTCCCTTCTTGAGGAAGAACTGGGTTTTAAAGCATCTCTCTCTCTTTCTTGCTGGGAAGTTTATTTCACAAGCTTACTTCAAATGAGAAAGAAATTTATGATTTCTGCCAGTACCTTTCTCTTAGGTGACCATTTTCCTACTTGCAGCAGGTCTGGCTGCAGAGGAAACGGAGCTAGATATTTGTTCTCTTAACCATCAAAGCAATGTGGGGGACTGCTGGGCTCTCTGATGTTCACTTTACAGGTTGGGGTTGGACTTCTCTCTTCATAACAGCAATACTCTAAGAAAAAAATTGAATGTGGCCAAACAAATGTTGATCTGGTCCATCCTTGTGGCTGGTGTACAATTCCTCTGTGCCTCCCAGCGCCACTTGGGTGGCTGAGCCCCATAGTAATAACCACCAAACAGCTGGTGTTTCTAATACCATACCCAAGGGCCAGTCCCTACTCTTTCAATGGGGTATCTGTGGGCTCAAGCAAGTCATAGAACTTCTTTGATCACTCATAAATGGAGAGAACAAGTGGCTTGTCCATCCGCAGGATTGGGGCATGTTCTAAATTCATTAATACCTGTAGAAAGGTTGGCCATATGTGGAGGGAGGAGCAAGGCAGAGGTGTGATTGCATCCACTGTTTTGCCAGAGATGGCTCTTCCCCTACCTGCTGCACTCGTTACATGGGGGGTCCTTTCCTAAGCACCTTTTGGGAACGTTTTTGGGTAGAAACAAGCCCCACAAAGTCTCTAGAACAGCCTTTCTCTTCCGCAGTACCCTGAGTCTTGGCTGTGGCTCTGCTGCTGTCACATGGGATCTTCTGCCCCGATCTCACCACCCCAGACCTCTCCAATATTAAGGCTTGGAGAGGAAAGGAGGGAGGCATAGCATCCCAAGTGACCAGGGAATGCAACGTCTCTACATCCCACACCGAAAATGAGCCCCTTACACAAGTTCTGCACCCGACCGCAGCCGCAGCCTCGTGGCGCTGCCGGCGGGGGGGATGCTGAAGTCCTGCCTGCCCTAGGGTCACCCTCCTGCCTCCGAAATGCGAGGGCTACCTGTCGGACATCTCCCCGCGCTTCCAAATCCCGGGTAGGGGCTCGGACGTGGCCTCCAGTGCCCGTGGCTCAGTCACCCGTGGCCACGAGGTGGCAGCAAGTCCTGGCCGACGGGGCCCGAGCTGCGGCGGGTCCTGCCCGGGCCGGGCCAGGGGAGCCCCGGGGGGACCCGCGGGGGGACCCGCGCTGGCCGCGGAGCCACAGAAAGGCTGGGCTGGGCAGGGGCCACCGCAGGTCATCCAGTCCACCGCACCCTGCTCAGGCAAAGTCTGCTAGAGCACGTCCACCCCGGGAGCTTTGCAACGAGGTGACAGTGGCTAATGTACCCCAAAACATTGTGGCCCAAACCGCGAAATGGCCAAAAGCATCAGTGGTCCATTTTATGCTGGTTTGGCAAGAGTGTCTCAGGTGTGGGTGCAGAGGCACAGCCACGTGTGCCAGCATGGCTCTGGTGTGGGCAGGGCTGCTTGAAATAGGCTATTCATTCACCTGGAGCATTTTAGAAGAGGCAGCCAAAATGCTGGCTCTCTATGGTTTATGTTTATCAAGATGATTATGCAACTGATAGATTTTGCCCCAAGGGAGGCTCTGAGAAGAGACCTGTAGATACTAAAATGTTATGTCATTTTCAAGGCTGCAGGGTTGAGGGGTAGTCAGGTGCACTATAAAGCTTTTAGTATTTTTGTAGACTACTCATTTATTTAAGCTCTAGGGAGAAAGCTTATGATTTTATTTCATTATTACCTTGCCTGCAAAAAGAGCAATATGGAATCTCATCCTCGTTTTAAGTCTTTTGAGCATTTAACATTAATGTTCATACCAGGACTTTTGGCTTCACAGCCCTGGAGAAAGTTACAGAGAGAGAAGAGTCGACCAATTTCAAACGAAGCTATTACAGCTTTAGTTTTACACTGAACTGAGTAGTTTCAGCTTGGGGAATAAGACAGAGCTCGGTGCATAAGCAGCAGCCTCTTGTGTACCAGGAGCATGTTTCTGCCACATTTGAAAGGCTTGTAAACCTGTAAGGTCAGTATTCAGGATTCTACCCAAGGCCGAACCTGGCAGGGTACAAATGCTTGTTTACTGCTCTGAGTACTTGGGCAGTGAGATTGCAGGTCTGTGATTTCTCCTCTCTCAGTCCTGTGCTGTGGAAAACTGCACAAGGAATGAGTTGGAGGAGTCCTAGGTGCTACTCCAGTAGCTTATCTTAGTTTGGGTAACTGGTAGCAACCTGGTGTTTGCACAGATAAATCAGGATGAAATCTTGGAATTGAAGTGTTTAGGATGTGGCTTTTTGGATGTGAAGCAAACTGGTGCATAGAGGAGAGGGAAGAGGTGGATTTCAGGGTCACAGGTTCATTTGGCTGACAGAAGCTTGTAACAATGTAATGGTCAAAATTTCTGTACCTCTACACTTGGAAATCAGCTGACACCTCCATTTGGCTTTTGCCACCCTTCTTAATCAAACTATTCCCTTTAAACCTCTGTGTTTCTGAGGGGTCTGAGGCTCTGTGCCTCCATCATCCTTGCTGCCTGATTACCCTTCTAATGTGGGCACTTCTCTCCCCTTGCAAGGCTGGAACAGGGAACCTGTTCCTGTGTTGTAGAGAGTCGAAGTGTGTAGAGGCAGCAATGCACCTCAGGTTGTGCAGCACTGTGGTAGAGACCACAGGGTGCATCTCCTGCTCCTGAATCCCAAGGCAGGTATCTTCAGCCATTTGTTGACATTTCTCATCTGCTTGCATCTTGGAAACATCCAGAGAGAGGTTTGGGACACATTTTCCACATGGTTTGGGACAGCAGTGCTAGCTCAGCTTTGTTATCAGGCTGTGCTCTGATGGCAGCTGGCCCTTGGAAGGGACTAGTCATCCCACTGGTGTGCCAGGCTGTTACCAGTCCTGACAGGGAGGGAGGAGAAAGTCTGGGAGGCGTCCCAAAACATACCCATGTGGTTTGTTAGCCCAATGGCTTTTCCTTCAACACTGATATTTTTTCTGGCTTGATAGAGGTAGCCAGAGCCCAGAACTGCTGGCTGGGTGGGTGTTGAGTGAAGCCTTGCTGTGTCCTTGTGTCTCTAGCCTGCTGCAAATTACCCTCCTGGCTCAGCTCTACATCCGTTGGCTCCAATATCCAGGCTCATCCAACAGCTAATCCTAGGCGTTTCCCAGAAGAGCAGGCAGCAGGATCCCAGCAAACAGGTGTGGCATAACTGGCTCCCATACAGCTCTTGTCCCTCTCCTTCCTCCTGCAACAGCTGGGGAAATGACTGGGCTGCTTTGAATATGGTTAAGGACATCTCTCTTCTAACACTGTGCTCTGCTCTAATAACAAATGGTGTGTTACCCCAGGAGAAAAGGACAATGAGATCGGCATGGGAAAGGAAAGGCCTTTGGAGTGATGGAGCCAATGTTTCTGACTGACCTGGCCTTTTCTTCTGCCTGCCCTTGCCAGGCCAGGGGAGAGGGAGGCAGGGTGTCCTTGCATTTGACAGTGCTCTTCAGGAATCTCCTGGCATACAGCTTGACACTGTCTCTGGGTCCTTGGGAACCTAGGACAGGCTCCTGGCACTGTGTTTCGGCAGTGCCCTTTATGTGTAGAGTGGGACATGTGCCAGTCCAATACGAAAAGCAGAAATTATGCCATCAGTGGCACCCACAATAGTACCTGACCCAAAATAGCTCCCTAGGAAAAAACAGGGAGGCTGATTAGGTTAGACAAGCCTGAAAGAGAGCAAGATTTCCAGCTAATGATTGACAGGTGTAGGTCTGTGAACAGGGGCTATAAATCCCAGAGGTGAGCTCTCTAGCCACCCTTTGGGGAAAGGCCAACGACTGCAGGGAGCACTCAGGATCTGCCTTCAGTGAACCATGGGGCTCAGTGACCAGGAATGGCAGCAGGTCCTGACCGTCTGGGGAAAGGTGGAGTCTGACCTCGCCGGCCATGGGCATATAATTTTAATGAGGTAGGCAAGAAGCTTCTGTTCTAAGATTAAAGCTGAGAGCCTTTGATGAGAGACATGTTTGTCAGTGTTTATTTCAACAAGCTGTTTGCTTTCTTGTAGGGTGGTGGGTTTTCCAGTGCTGTGGTTTCTGGGTTAAAAGTAACTCACTGTGTAAAGTAGCTGTGCTTCTCTGTCTCCATCTCTCTATGGGTGCAGTAGCAGGCCAGTGCTGCTTTTAAAAGATGGTGGTGCTTTGTCCCTCTGCCTCTGGTGCCTAAGCTTTGCTTTGGATCCCCATTTCCAAAGCACTACAGTAAGAAATGCTGGGGAGAATTGTGTGTCATGAGTCTTCAGGTGCTCTGTAGCAAGGATATGTAGAGGCAGGGAAGGAAATGAGAGGAAAACCACCTCTGTGAAAATTTTCTTGGAATTTACTATTTCAGTAAAATTATCCGTGAAGTACCTGAGTGTTTCCCTTTCCCCATCTTAGTGTCACCTCACAGAGCCCTGTTCATCCTGCTTTCTGGTCAGAAATCTGTGTGGTAACACTTGTGTATTACCTTATAATGAATTTGCAGTCTGGGTGTGTGAAAAGAAGCACATCCTTCCCCCTGCTTCCCTCCTCCACAATTCTTGTGTCAGAGCACAAGTGCTCATGAGATCTCCATCTGAGAGGACACCAAACTCCATGAGATACTGGCACCCTGACTGGGGAACACCCAGATACTGCAGTGGGAAACAACATTAGGTGGGCGTTGGAGCCTAGCTTGTCCTTTAAAGACCAGTAGGGATGGAGACTTTGAGGAAATTCTCTTCAGATCTCCCCTGAGGTGGTGCAGAGTACAAAGTGCTGGAAGGGTACAGAAAAGGCCAGGAAAGTCAGTAGCATTGGCTCCATCACTCAAAAGGCCTTCCCTTTCCCATGCTGATCTCATTGTCCTTTTCTCCTGGGGATATGGCACCTGCTTGGGGGCTTTCCTACCCTAAGCATGGCTAAGGAAAGGAGCCCACACCATCAGGCATATCCACTGAAGAGCTCTGAAAACCTTTTTTCAAAGATGAGACAATGCAGGGAGCTGTTTTATTTACCTTCTTTATAATGGCCCAGTTCAGCTGCCATTTGAAGGGAAAGGAATGAAGTGGGAATGAAGTGAGTGGCAATGTGATGGCTTTCCCCTCATGCGGTCCGGAGCAGGCATGCTGGAGGGGTAGCAGGAACCTGAGCCCTCCTCACGTATCAGTTTCTGTGAGGTGGCTACTTTGGCTCTGAATTTGCCACATGATGGTAAAAGCAGTTCCAAATGGAAAGGCAATACAATTTTTATTACAAATATCGCATGGTAGAGCATGGCATTAAATAAATAGATGGCAGCTCTTCCCCTGTAACTTCGTGCTCCCCAGCCAAACAATTTCTTGTTCCTCCAAGGAGTTTCTGAGGGAGAAGAGAGGCAAGGGAAAGAGGGTGGGAAAAAAAGGCAGGAACCAAATTCCTTTGTGTCTGCAATCATAGGGTTGAGGGGCACAGTAAGCACTCCCATCCATCTGATGTTCAAGAAAACCTGAGCTCCAGATGTAAGGGACCTGTGGCTGGGGACTGCTACCAAGGTTTTTTTTTTTAATCTGTGAGAAGCTTCTAGAACTCTCCTTTCCTGGTAAATGAACAATGGGTTGGGAATAGAGTCCTTGTGAGAGCCAGAGGTCTGCAGGTTGGCTCCTCAGCAATAGCAACTCAATGAAGACAAGTGGTTTTGTTTGGTTTTGGTTTTCCTTCAGATGAATGCAAGAACTCACCTCTCAGTACCACAACCAGCCTTGGCTCTTGTCTCTGTCTTCAAACAGTTAACTTAACCCAGAGGACCGGTACCAAAGAGTTAGCAGAGTTATATGAAAAAAATACAGACACTTACTCTGTTGCTCTAGTTGGACATGTTTAGGGTAGTGTCTCTGTCACGACCAGAGGGAATGGAAATAGGCAATGGTGATCATATCAGAATGTGTAAAAGGATGGGATTACAGTAGATTCAATACTCAAAGGGAGGTATGTCAGGAGCTTCTGCTCTCCAAAGACAAGTCCCTCTATTTTTGTCCACAGACTCTTTCAGGACCACCCTGAGACCATTGAAAAGTTTGAAAAGTTCAAAGGCCTGAAGACCCCTGATGCAATGAAAGGCTCTGAGGATCTGAAAAAACATGGAGCTACTGTTCTTACCCAGCTGGGAAAAATCCTGAAACAGAAGGGTAATCACGAATCAGAGCTGAAGCCCCTGGCTCAGACCCATGCGACCAAGCACAAAATCCCTGTCAAATATCTGGAGGTATGGAAAAAGGCAAGGAATCTTGGTGTCTGATGCGCAGTGAATGTGTGTAAGACATCTATGTGAGAGCTGTGCTTTTATTTACCAGTGACTAGTTGGACTTCAGTGAGTTCTCCCTCAAGACCAAAGTCTCTGTGTACAGGCAGCAGGAGGCACAGAAAGGGCTAATGGTATGCGAATAGTATGTGAATATCCAAATTTAGATTTCCCATTCCAAACACCACACACAGTCTGACTAACCCTTGACAACAATAAACCAACCCATGCAGCCTCTGCATGCCTGGGAAGCTGTATTACATAAGACCTGTCAGTGGCTGGACACATGGGACATACAATTTTACAGGAAGCCCTAGAGGATCCATTGGAGACCCAAACCCATAAAACTAAATATTATACAAACATACGGTATGAATTTTCAGTCTTAATGGATAAGGCAGACAAAAAGTGGGAAGGGCCATGGTCTGCTCAAGGTCATGAAGCAGATCAGTGTCAGAGCTAGGAATAGAGCCCAGTTCTTCTGCCTAGCCCAGGTTCCTTGCATACTAAACTTCACTGTCTCTCCAGAGACTTCACAGAGGGCTACTGAATTAGCTCAGAGATATTTCCAGGCTCTGCAACCTATTTCTTAGTCTGGCTTTTCTGAAAATAAACCTTGAGTGTCCCTTCAGTTTTTCTCTCTCTCTTTCCTTCCTCGCAGTTCATTTCTGAAGTCATTATCAAGGTCCTTGCTGAAAAACATGCTGCAGACTTTGGGGCTGATGCCCAGGCTGCAATGAAGAAGGCCCTGGAGCTGTTCCGAAATGATATGGCCGCCAAGTACAAGGAGTTCGGTTTCCAGGGTTAGCACATATGCACAAAGGAATATCATGATGGAGGCCTGGCCAAGCATCTTAGATAGCTTCCCCAGCACTGTTTTGGACATCTCACAACTGGCCATCCATGATGTGTGGGAAAGCTTTGATGAGAGGCCAAGAGTCACTCCAGGCAGAATAGAGGCACTCAGTGATATCCATGATAAACTGTTGTTTCTTGGCTTCATGTATACAAAAGAAATTATCTGCTTTCTTAGGAAAAATAATGTTAGAGGTTATTTGTGAGCTTCTGCCTATCTCCTTTCTCTCTCTCCCTCCCTCAGTCTCATCTGAGAGGAAAATGGCATGGCCAGAAATGAAGGGATGTGGAGGAACAAGGGAAGTGTTGAGTGTGGTGAATGAGAGAGTTGAAGGGATGACCCAAATGAAAGTGTTGTAAGGATGGCAAGCAAGGACACAGATTCCCATTCTTCCCACAGGTCAGTCTGTTAGCAGGTTACTATGGTGAGCTTCCAGCACAGTATTACTTTGCTTTGTGAGGGCAAATGCAACCGGTCAGTCTCCAGGGCCTGCCAGCTCTTGGAGGCTTTAGGTGTTAAACTTGCATTAGCAAAACTATAAAGAGCAGTACTGCCTGTGATCTGTACGTTTCTGGCAGCCACCACTATGTATCTGAAGGTCTATTGCACTGGGAAGTAAAGTATGTGTTTCTCAGAAAATAAAAATCCCTGCACCAGTGTTGTGTGTTTGCTCCTGGCTTTACAAACGCTCCAGTGAGAAGTGGGGGAGAAGGAGAAAGTGGAAAGGGGTTTTGCCTACTTATCTGGCTGTGCCGCATCCTGCACTGTCAGTCCAGGACCTGAGCAGCACATGGCATCTGTCTCAGCCGGGGGCTCAGAGCACTCAGATGTCACCATGGGGACGTGACCTGGTTACCGGACCTCACACCTCAAAAGAGCAGCTTAGGCTGAGAAGTGCTCCCTGACTGAAGGCAGTGGCCACTGCTGGGGGGATGTGGTGAGGCAGAGTCCTTTGTTTATTTATGGGAAGGTGGTTCGTGCAAGCAGCTTCAGCTTCCAGCAGCAGCACAGTGCATTGCTCCCTCCAGACACTGGAAAGAAGGACTGATTAGCTCAGGAGGGAGGCTGCAACACCAGCATATGCTCTTGAGACTCAACCTCTGGTCTCTCTAACCTTTTGAATTTTTGCTGAGGTGCCTCTGCAGTGCATGCTGCACTCTGTTTACAGATGCACACCCATGTCCTGTGGTGGACTTAAAGGACAGAGAGAGTGGCAAGATGCCTCCCTCTGCCGGTTGCCCTCTCCCCATCTTGATATCACTGGGTTGTAGTTAGGGGAAATGTGTGGAGGTGACATGGCTGCTCTTCTTTGTGTGGAGAAAGTATTGTGCCTTATCTCACTGAGTGTGAGGGCAAGCACCAGAAAGAAAAAATGAGGTGCTCGGTAACAGGGGCTACTAGCAGGATCTGGTTCAAAGTACCCCCTACTATACTCTGTGCAGTGGAGACAGAGGAGGAGCCACCAGCTCCCTTAGAAATCAGTCCTGAACCAGCATGAACTGCTGCATCTTTGGTCAGGGAAAAGGCTACAAAATTTCAGTCTCTAAAAGGAGAAGGAATAATAAATTCCTTCCCAGAAGAGTACATCTCTGGTTTCTTGCTGTTTATAAATCCTCACTTTACCTCTGGGAGCTTGCTTGGGGTTTCAGCCTTTCAGAGAGGGTCACAAAAGCATGTGCTGTCACCTAGATGAAGTTACAGCCAGGTGGTCCCTGGCTTAAGCAACATGCTTCGTCTGATTCCAGTCTGGTCTGTCTGGTTCTGTGGGGAGGGCGATGTATTTAATTAAGGCCTAGGATTGCCTGTCCAACACAATAAGATTTCCTGCCAATGACAACAGACTCTGCTTTAGGATTAAAAACTCTGCTATAGCAGCTGCCTCTGTCAGTCTGAGTGGGACTAGAGTTATCCAGATATTTTTATGTAGGGCACTGTGGTGGAGGAGGGAGTGTTTGCATGTATGTTGTGCCTAGCTACCCATTATTAGGTACGTGGACTAAATGTCAGTCCACTGGGAGCACTGACCCTTCTCTCTGCCTGCCTTACCCCGCTGTGTCGGTGCACTAGGGACCATCCTTAAGTCCACCCCACATCTGTGGGATCTGATGGAGGTTTTCTGGTTGTGTCTATGTCTCAGTGAAGAGATACAGAGATGAACCAGCAAGTTCAAACACCAATGACAGTGGAGCTATATCCATCAGGCTCGGTGGACTGGGATGCTTATGGTGAAATCAATGTCAAACCTTTGCTACTCTGGATACTGATTATGCTCTTGGCTGAGTCCTGACATAACTGCAGTGAAAGGGCAGTAATTCCTACACAGTGGGTCTATAAAGCTCCTGCAATGGCCTCTGCTTCAGGAACAGGGCAAGTTTCCTAGAGCAAAGAGGATGATAGGGAAAGGATTTTTTATCTCCATGCTGTATTGATTTAGATTCTTTGTTGTTCTACTGTGCTGATAGCACGTGGAGCTTTTCTGATTCATATATGGGACAAAGTCCTTCAGTGGAGATAAACCATATCAGCGTAAGCCCAGACATTTTCCTGCCTCCTTTCCAGGAATAGCTTTACATAAGGTGGATGGGTCCCAGGGACTTGGACTCAGGACCCCTCCCCGCTAGCACCGTGTGGTGTCACATACACATTTCGGGTCGCTGGATGGGATGTGGATGGTGTGGCTGCCAGCCTCCTTGCTCCAGCACGTACATGCTGACTGCAGCCAGGTCAGGCTGCTCTCACTGCCGAGGTTTCCATTGCATGGCACAGCTCACCATGGCACCGAGCCACTGCCCTGTCTGCCCTCTCTTGGGCTTTGGTGTCAGACATTAGCCACTTGTCAGGATCTCAGATGCAGGGAGCAGGCTCTCACTTCCCAGACACTGTGCAAGTGATCCAGTCAGCCCCAGCCAAGGTACAACAGCACTGCAGCCTGTGCTGGCTGTTCCCCTTCTCTTTCCTTCTGCCTGCAGATCCTGCCTGACTCCAATACACCTTCCAACATCAGGTGGCATCACAGAACAAGTGCTGGGGACCATACTATTAGTCCTGTGATCTGTCTCTTGGTCACTTCAGTGGGAGAAAGGGACAAGGCTCCAATGACTAATTATGTTAAATATTTAGCAAATTAGTATGAAGTTTCTGACATTCTTGGTGTTTGCACCTCCCTGCAGGGCTAACGTGAGAAAAGGGCAGGGAAGTTTTCAGTCCAAGTCACAGTCAATGAACAGATAAGTCTAGTTTCTGAGAACTGAAGCACAGACAGTGCCTTAAGGATGTAATGTCTATATAACATCAATTTAATAAGGAGACTCAAATGCACACCTATACCACATGCTTTCAGATGAGGATTATTTTTGCCATGATCCTTATGTTTTCTACCACCTGGCCAAAACCTATCCTGTATGTTATGCCACTGAGGAGAAAAAATGGTGGAACCAGGTGTTTCTTTGACGTAGACATGCTTGCCAATAATATTTTTTCCAGAAGGTGCATGGCATCAGAACATATCCTCTTCTTGGACTCGTTCTTCTCAGGTTTGCTCAAGGCTGCATCCTTGCTTGTTCAGGCTGTGCAGGGCTTAACAACTAGAGTCTCTTCTGCTTCTAAGCACACACACACACGGAGACACACACACACACACACACACACACACACAGACACAGACATCTATATAAAACCACCAACTTCAAAACACACATTATAGTAAAGCCTATCTGTCCAAATCCTTCAGATTCCAGCATTCCCAGATTCCAGCATTCCTGTGTGCTGGTTCTTCCTTTGAGAAGGATGATATATATGAATTCTCACATCATGTTTAAAAAAAGTACAGACTTGAAATGGCTAAGGTCTAACCAAGTGAGAAGACAGACTATGCAAGGACAGGACACCTGGAGAGTACCGGTAGGTAGGGGGCTGTTAAATTTCATGAAGGTGTGCCAACAGAGTCCAGAAGCCACCTGGAACTACAGTAAGGGAAAAAAGAAAGTCCAATCGACCTCTTTTATTCAACAGGCTAATAAATGTGCATTTATGAACATGAAAGAGTCATAACAATGCAGCATTCTTGACCAGCACATAAATCCTTCTCTCCCCTGTGATCATAGGCACAACAAGTCCATCTCCCAGTCCTGTGACTTCTATAAAATCCTTATCCAAATGTCAGTAAAGGTGACCTTGTGGCTTTTTAAAGCAGTACTTAATAGTCACTTGGCTGCACTGTACCAAAGTCCTTTCCCAGTTTGGCTTTTCATTCCATAAATAAATAAATGGAACGAGCTGCTCCCACCTTTTCCCCCAGCCCTGTGGTGACCACCTGTGACAAGCCATGTCAGACAGGCAGGTCTGGGGCTCTCTTGGGCAAGGCAAGCAAGCCCTGGCACGGGGCATAGCAGCATAGCTGGTAGTTTTTGTGGAAAAGGCAATGTGTATTTGGGATGGGGAGGGTATTGGAGTCTCCATTCCTCCCTCTATGCCCCAAGAAAGGCATCTCATGCTGAGAGAAACAGCAGTTCAGCTGCCCTGAGCTGGCCAAATAGTCATTTGGGTTATGCCCATGTAAATGCGAGGGGGGACAGCCTGGATATGAGACTATTTCACTTCATTTAAACACTAGCTCGGGTATATATCGTGGGGCTGTGCGGCTGGTTTACTGGATTTGCCCAGAGCTGTTGAGAGGAGGCTGTCGCTGGTATGGCTACTCTGCAATCCAGCAGCAGACATGACCCCAAAACAGTTTTCCACTTAACTGCCTCAGGTATTAAAAATGAGTACAACACAGATATTCATGTCCAGGAATTTGTGAATTTCCCCAGGTTGTAAGGCTGAGAAGGGGGCTGTAGCTATGCTATTATTGATATCCAATAAGGCTACTTTAAAGCTGATACTGGTGTATACATCTTAGCTGCAGCCTTTTGTCTGGAGGAGAGCTTAAAGAAAAATATCCCTCTTTCCCATTTCCCTTCTCCAAGGAAAGCTTGGTATGAATGCAGCTGCTGGGTGCCCAATCTTATTTTAGATTGTCCTTAAAGCGGGTTCAAATGTTCAAGTGACAGAATAGCTTTGGGTGGAAGACCTTCTGCATTATTAGCACTTAGTTCTCTATGTCTCCGTGCTTAGCTTGGATCTCCTGTTACTTCCCAGTGTATTCTATTAATGGTGCTTTTGTTAAGGTTTTCTATCTTCTGTCCTCCCTTAACATGCCTATCTGTTTCCTCATGCAAGCTGGATTCCAGTGTCTGAACTCTCACCAAAGGGGTGGAAAATTCCTGGAGCTGATACCCTCACCAGGATCTGGGATTGCTCTGCCCAGGGCTTGCATGACATCAGGCTTGTCCTCTTGGTGAGCTTTTGGGTTATCTGGAGAGTTAGCTGATACAGTGTCAAAGTGAGTCTGTGTTTTTTCACTCACTTTGCAGCTGGATGAATAGTCTGGTGCCCTTTGAGGGATGTCATGGATTAACTGTGAGTTGGCTGGGGAGAAAGGAGAAAAAATACCACAGAGTTTTGTCTAAACCAGCCATATGGTGTCCCTGCAGAATCTGTGGGAGAGCCTTCACTGAAAAAAGGGTTAGTAGCAGGCATGCTCAGACAAGCTGTACAGAGATGCATGAAAAGCAGGTAGGGTATGCCATGTGCCACATTTGCAGCTACCCCTCTTTT